ACATGAGTAACTAAGATTCTATCAACGCATCTTTCACATGAGTAACTCATATTAGATTATATCAATGCATCTTTCACATGAGTAACTCATATTAGATTCTATCAATGCATCTTTCACATGTAACTCATATTAGATTCTATCAATGCATCTTTCACATGAGTAACTCATATTAGATTCTATCAATATGTCTTTCACATGTAACTCATATTAGATTCTATCAATGCATCTTTCACATAAGTAACTCATATTAGATTCTATCAATGCATCTTTCACATGAGTGACTCGTATTAGATTCTATCAATGCATCTTTCACATGAGTAACTCATATTAGATTCTATCAATGCCTCTTTCACACAAGTAACTCATATTAGATTCTATCAATACGTCTTTCACATGATGTACTCATTAGATTCTATCAATATGTCTTTCACATGAGTAACTCATATTAGATTCTATCAATGCATCTTTCACATGAGTAACTCGTATTAGACTCTATCAATGCCTCTTTCACACAAGTAACTCATATTAGATTCTATCAATACGTCTTTCACATGATGTACTCATATTAGATTCTATCAACATGTCTTTCACATGAGTAACTCATAATTGATTCTATCAATGCATCTTTCACATGAGTAACTCATATTAGATTCTATCAATGCGTCTTTCACATGAGTAACTCATAGTAGATTCTATCAATGCATCTTTCACGCGAGTAACTCATTAGATTCTATCAATGCGTCTTTCACATGAGTAACTCATATTAGATTCTATCAATGCATCTTTCACATGAGTAACTCATATTAGATTCTATCAATGCATCTTTCACATGAGTAACTCATATTAGATTCTATCAATGCCTCTTTCACATGTAACTCATATTAGATTCTATCAATGCGTCTTTCATATGTAACTCATATTAGATTCTATCAATGCGTCTTTCACATAAGTAACTCGTATTAGATTCTATCAATGCGTCTTTCACATGAGTAACTCGTATTAGATTCTATCAATGCATCTTTCACATGAGTAACTCATATTAGATTCTATCAATGCGTCTTTCACATGAGTAACTCATATTAGATTCTATCAATGCGTCTTTCACATGTAACTCATATTGGATTCTATCAATGCATCTTTCACATGAGTAACTCATATTAGATTCTATCAATGCGTCTTTCACATGAGTAACTCATATTAGATTCTATCAATGCGTCTTTCATATGTAACTCGTATTAGATTCTATCAATGCATCTTTTACATAAGTAACTCATATTAGATTCTATCAATGCGTCTTTCACATGATGTACTCATATTAGATTCTATCAATACGCCTTTTACATGGGTAACTCGTATTAGATTCTATCAATACATTATACGTAACTCACATTAGTAAAAGTAGATAATAAAGCTTACCTTATGATTCATCAAGACAGAACATCCTGGCTCCAATTGATCTTTATCAACAAATGAGAGAATACTAACATAATGTTCTGATCCAACTGATGTAGATACAATGGCATGGTTATCATCTATGAATTTCTTCTAAAGATCCAACTGACATGGGAGTTCCACGTAAATCATCAACTTTAGAACGTTCCTCCTGTAACAACAAATATCTTTAATAAACAATGCACTAAAGCAACATTGGAGACTGGAAATACGGATAATAAACAAATGGTCACTTTTTTCATACCAAGTATTTTTTGGTAATTTAATGTACTCCATTTAGTAGTGCATATGTTACATAAATGACAGAGGTGTCTCTATGGTCAAAATGAGTCGTATAATAATGGTGCAGAATACATTAAACACAATTTTTTATTTTTGTGCAATTCTATTAGAAATACGGCATAGTAAAGTCAACTTTAACTAGGTTATTGGAAAATGTCATTAACCAAGAAGTGCAAAATGTGATGAAGTCAGCTCACAGACTAATTTAGTGTCAAGCAGTTCAAGTTTTCTCACCTCATGTTTTTCTTCCTGTGGTTTCAGTCTTTCTTGATTTCTAATAAACTCCTCTTCCATCAGCAAGTAATCTTTTATTCTTTCTAGCTTCAGTAACTTTAATCTGCACCTTGTGTGGGGTGTGACTGTGAAATAAACAAATACAACAGACAGTTAAAATATGTCATACACCAAAGGTGGACTTAAACAATTTTAATAATATGCAACAATTTGCAGAATGTCTATAGTACTAAAGAGTTATCAGCAAGAGTCGTATATTGTATTTGCTCTTTTAGTAGTGCATGCACTCTGATCATATTTTAACATTCCAGTATACAATAAATGTAATTCTTGGCTTATGTGCACTGCTATTGTAGGGAGCAAATATGATATGCAGTTTTAGTAATTTCTGTAATGTAAAGTATGATTCTTGAAATTGCTTGTCAGTTTCTGCACAGTGGATGCATGGCAACAGGTTATAAACACATCATCATATACCTTGTGGTAGTTTATTGGCAGCATCTGGGCCCCTTGTCCTTCGCCTCTTTTTACCAACTCTTGTGGGAACAGGAGGTTCATACTTCTTCTTTTTATCCTACAAGAATTACAAACTGAAATTAATTCATAGTTCAAATGGTGGATGCAAGAAATCACAATAATCCACAATGATTTATCATGCACAAAAAGCATAAATCAGTTGTGTACAGAAATTAGTATAATTATGTATGAGATCCATGTTTTTTCTAATGAAGGTCTGGCTGCTCTATACAGGCACCAGCATTCAAAATGCCACAGAAACTAGGACAAATACAAAGACTACCATACACATGAGGAAATGGAACTTACTTTGTCATCTTTTTTATCACCAGGCGATCCCCCACCTGCACCCGACTGATTCTGACCCTATAGGAAACAAGTGATATACAACATTAGTTTCAGAAATTTGTTCAAGTGAGAATACATACTATTAACTAGGTTGCCTTGCTTTAAAACTGAGATGGTGTTCTGCAATTGGGAATTTTTTTTGTTCATCAGTATTACTGTAATTTCCAAATAAGAAAAAATAAGAACACAACTGCAGCTATGGTCTGGAGGTAAACTCAGAGTATAAACAGAAGCTATTTGTACTATACTGTAAAAATGTAATTTCTCAACTTGTCAAAAATCAGTGAAAATAAATTCTATACAAAACACCCAAATAGTCTTTTCAGCAAAAATTAATTCCAGCTAAAATAAAGTATTTTACAGTAAGAAACACTTGCAAATTCCTATATAAGCTTCTTAAAAACCTAACTCAAAGTTCTACTAAAAATGCACAAACTAGATTATTGCAAACTTTCCTATGTCAAAATTGCTACACACTTGTATTACCATCTAGTCAGCAGTAATGGTGCGAATGTATGTTGTTCCGGTCGCTGCCCCACATGTAGCTTAAAGCATGGAAGGTAGTAGGAGAGAAGAGAGTAGCTATTGTTCTACCCTGCTCCATGATCACTTTGATTTATTTTTTTTGTTAAACATTCTTGTAATGTGATTATGTGAATAATAGTTTTACGGAGATAAATTGACACCAAAATCACATAACATGATCAAATCACAGATCCTCATAAAATAAAGATATTTTATCTCAATAACAAGTTTCCATGATCCTACCAGAATCCTAGTATCATATTTTACATACAACAACGTATTTAAAAGTCAGTTTGTCATTAATAGACTAAAAACAAAATGGCAAAACAATTGCATAATCAAAGTTAAACTGTAAATAGCTCCCGTGTGATCAGAGCATGTATTATAAAGGTATAGGCTTTGCCTACTAAGTGAATGTAATTGCATGTAGGTCAATCCATCAATAAAATTGATCAAGATGTCTGAGAATCTATGACATACTGTATATGGAAACACATGATTTTGATATGGGCATTTTGAAAAACATGCAAGGACACTAAACTTGTAAACAAAGGGCACTAATGAGGCACTCTATGAATGAGGTATTTCTAGAGATCGGGGTTTGTCTCGTCTGCAGTTGAATAATTTTTGCTTTGATTTTCTTTCCAAATGTGACTTAATTTCACTTGTTTTTTATTAATTCTTGGTAATTAGTGTCATTAGCGATGGACTAGTAAAATCCACAATTAACCTCAGTGCAGCAAATCTACAAATCTGTACAACATACCTAGAACAGATAAATAAAAACATTGTAGTTTAATGTTCGTCCGGACTTTGAGCCCTTGAAAGTAAGTGATCCAGCCCTTCCATACGCCAACGATTGAAATTAGTTCAATTGCTATCAAATTATCGCTCTAAAAAAAAAAATTTCATTTGTGAGACGTGCTTTTAATACAAACCGAAGATCGTGATCGACCCAACACAAAACTACCGTCATTTTGTCTTCCTTGTCCTCGTTCGGCAAAAACAAAAAACTCGCATATTTACTATTTGTTTAATGAGTGCATTTTTGTTTAAAAATA